GAAAAATCCATGACATTCATCAATTAACCAGCAAAAATCTAGAACTGCAGGCATGGCTCAAGTGCTAGAATGTAAGCCTTGAGTGAAAAAGCCAAGGGAGAGCAGAAAACTTTAAGTACAATCCCTGATACCAAGATAACAAATAAATAAATACATACATACATATGTACTTAAATTAGTTCCTTTTATTCATAAATACCATTATATTAATCCAAGTAAAGTTTACATTTTTAATAGGAATAAGATAATTTATATATTAAAAATCTATAACAAAAATCTTCAAAATCCATGGTTTCCAGGAAAATTTATTAGTTTTAGAATTGAACAAAAGTATAGTGGGAGGGAGGGTTGGGTAGGGGGACAGGGGGAGGATGGAATGTGAAGGGTAAACAAAGGAGGCAGCTACAATGCTTGATAAGAAATGTACTCATTTTCTTGTCCATGTAATTGTAACCCCCCTGTACAGTATTTTCACAATAAAAAAATTAATTAATTTTTAAAAAGTATAAGTATGATCTACAGTAAGAGAACAACTTTATTATACATATAAAATGTTAAAGTCAATGCCAAAATCTAAAGAGTACGTTTAAAAGGTATATGTAAAGGGCTGGGAATGTGGCTTAGTGCCTTGCCTGGCATATGAAGCCCTGGGTTCATATTCCTTAGTACCACATAAAACAGACAAAGCTGGATGTAGTACTGTGGCTCAAGTGATAGAGTACTATCCTTGAGCAAAAGCAGCAGCTCAGGGACAGTGCCTAGGCCCTGAGTTCAAGCCTCAGGTTTGGCAAAAAAAAAAAAAAGCAGGGCGCTGGTGGCTTACACCTATAATCCTAGCTACTCAGGAGGCTGAGATCTGAGGATCGCGGTTCAAAGCCAGCCCGGGCAGGAGAAACCGTGACACTCCTATCTCCAATAAACCACCAGAAAACCGGAAGTGGCGCTGTAGCTCAAGTGGTAGAGCGCTCGCCTTGAGCTGAAGAGCTGAGGGACAGCGCCCAGGCCCAGAGTTCAAACCCCACGACCGACAAAAAAAAAATGGTTTCATTCCTGGGAATGTGAACTGCATATGCAATAGAATATGTATGTTAGATTATTCACCCCTATTTTTTTCCCTTATAAGGTCTTGCTTCCTGTGCCTGAACCTGTACTTGAACTTTGATGGACCTAATTTTAGGCCTTTTGAGGTCCCTGGAATCTCAGGCAAGCACAACTATATCTAGCTTCCATCCATGAAGATGGAGGTTCACTAATTTTTCCTCCCTGGCTGGCCTTCAAGCACCATCCTCCCAAGCTTAGTTTCTCATATAGCTTAGGATGACAGGTGTATGCCACTGCACCCAGCTAAGGTTCTTGCAAACTAGAGTTTCACGTCTCCCTACATACAACAGGGTCTACAATGCAAGTGAGGAGTTGTGGGGAAACGTAATCTGAGTATTTATATAGAAGTAAACAAGAGCTGTCTTCATCTTCTGCTAAAAAGAAAGGAGAATAAAACCCTTTACTCATTGAGGCAAAGTATGAAGTACCCTGAGTTCTCACTCCCACCCTTCTAGATTGTAAATAAATTTTTCCAGGGGCCAGATAAACCAAGTGTCTTCAGTTTTACAACCAAGCACTTTTACCCCAAAATGGAGTATAAACACACATCTCTGAAATTAGGTAAAATCTCTTTTCTTCAACACATATGATCTTTGCCTTGTAGAGCTTGGTTTAGTCCAAAGTCTATCATGTTCCCATAAAATTACTCAGAAAATTCTTTATAAACTCACAAAAATGTTCTGTATACCCTATAGCTTGTAAATATAATTTACTTCTTCTTGAGTACATAATTGTCTTTTTTTTTGGGGTCCGGTCGTGGGGCCTGAACTCTGGGCCTGGACATTGTCCCTCAGCCCTTCAGCTCAAGGCTAGCCCTCTACCACTTGAGCTAGAGCGCCACTTCCGGCTTTTTTCTTTTTTCTTATGTGGTGCTGAGGAATCGAACCCAGGGCCTCATGCATGGAATGCAAGCATTCTACCACTGAGCCACCTTCCCAGCCCTTGAGTACATAATTGTCTAGCTAAAGACTTCATTTTTTAATCACTTACAGATAGATGTGATCATGTGACTAAGTTCTTATCAAATGTGCTTTTGCTATGGTATGATGTGCAATCTAAAGTTGTAGCTATGCCAAGCTACCTTGAGTTTAAACCATATATAACAGATACTGTGTATTGCTGTATTTCTCCTAAAAGTTTAAAAGTCTTTTAGTTCCCTTGTGAATTTGATGTAGTGCCAAGGGTACCTGAATTTAGGAATTAGAGAATTAAGACACAATCTTTGACAGATAAGTAGTATTCACAAAAATCTGTTCAAGTGACACATACAAATGTAAACAGAATCATGGTCTCATTCATGATGGAGTTTCATGTTTCACTTTCATTTAGCACCTCCAAATTCTTGTTGGAGTAAAAAAACATTTGAAGTACTATTTTCTTGAATTTAAAAAAAGTGCCTAAGATCTAACTAAAAAGTGCCTAAGTATCAAGCTAGCCTAGCAAGTGAAGTCCTGAGTACCACTGGAAAAAAAGTGACTAGTTATGTGAACAAATACATTTTCCAACAGAAGGTAACAAACTGTTTTGTCTTTCCCTTATTGGTTGTACCTTATTGAAATATATTTCATAGGGTAAAAAATTGTGGATTATCATTTTTTCCCTCCAGATCTTGAAAGATATTCATTCTATGGTCTCCATGGTTTCTGATGAGAAAGTCACAATCATTTAGACCATTACATAGCTCAGAATATATATGACAGACCCAAAGGAACGCAGTACCATGTTTTCTTAATACTCAGGGCCACCCAAGTGCCAATAGGTCATGCCTGTAAGTTTAGCTACTTGGGAGATTGAGACTGAAAGCACTATGTTTCTAGGAAGTCCAATCAGAGACCTCTTCTTAAGTGACAACTGGGCATGGTGGTTCACATCTATTATTCCAGCTACTATAAGAAGCCTAAAATAGGTGGACTGAGGCTCAGTTGTGCACCTGATTGGGAAGCAATGCTCTCCCTCAAAATAACCAGTGTGAAGGGGGCTAGAGGCATGGTTCAGCAGTAAAGTGCCTGCCTAAGCAAGTGTACATCCTGAATTCAAACCCCAATATTAGTACCAAAAAAACTCAGGGTTCCTGGCCACTCCACTTTTCAAAGTTTCATGTTTGTCAAAATGCTGAAACAAGGACACAGCATGACCCACTGCAATAATGATACTCATAAGAGACTCTATGTTGGAAATGAACTTTACAACTGGATGGGAAGGGAGAGGAGTGGGAAAGGTGGGGAAGGGAAGGGATAGTAAAAGAATAACAAAGGAGGGGGTAACAATGCTTGACAAGAAATGTACTCATTACCTTACTCATGTATCTGCAACCTGTGTACAGCATCTTTACAATAAAATATTTTAAAAAGTTTCATGTTTGTTAGATTATCTATATACATATATATGAGTATTATATAATATATGGGTATTGTATTATTATAGAATGTCCAGAGATTTTAGCTTATTTAACAAAAAGAATTAGTGGAGCCAGATGCCATGGCCCAAGACTGTAATCCTAGTCAGAAGACTGAGATCAGAGGATCTTGGTTCAAAACCAGCCTGGGCAGAAAAGTCCATGTGAGACTCATCTCCAATAAACCAGTCAAAAACTAGAAGTGGTGCTGTGGTTCAAATGGTAGAGCAGTAGCCTTGGGCACAAAGAGAAGCAGAAGCAGAAGCAGCAGCAGCAGCAGCAGCAGCAGCAGCAGGAGGAGGAGGGGGAGAGGAAGAAGAAGAAGAAGAAGGAGAAGGAGAGGAAGGAGAAGGAGGGGAAGAAGAAGAAGAAGAAGAAGAAGAAGAAGAAGAAGAAGAAGAATTATATTATTCATGGAATCTGCTTAATTTTTTGAGGAACCAGAAATCCAGCTTTCTTAGAAGACATTTCATCCCACCCTCTTGCCCCAAGTGACTCTATTGTCATTTGTCTATTGTCCCATCTGGAAGAATGGGAAGAATTGTGTGTGTGTGTGTGTGTGTGTGTGTGTATGTGTGTATGACAAAACTGAGGCTTGAACTCAGAGCCATATGCTCTTATTTAGCTTTTCTGCTTAAGGCTGGCATTCTGTCACTTGAGTTACACCTTCATTTCTGGTTTTTTGTCAGTTATAGATGTGTCTCACAGATTTTCTGCTTAGACTGGCTTTGAACTTCAGTCCTCAGATCTCAGACTCCTGTAGCTATGAGTGAGCTACCAGGGCTCAAATATAGGAGAAAATTTTACATCAAGAAACAAAGTCTAGTAACACCTGTAATTCTTCTAAGCAAATTAAGGGGTCTTTCCTAAGAGGCCCATTATGCACACAAGACACTAAGGATCATTAGAAAAAATAGAGCTAGCCCTTAGGAAAACTGATGAGAATAACTTTGAGTGATTTGTTCAAGTTTTTTTCTTTCTTAAAAAATCTATACCACATTTCACATTTCAGTAATAGGAAAATAAACATAAATTAGCTATGTGAGCTTTAAAAGTGAGCTTTAACAACCAGAGCACAGCATACATTTTTTCCTTCAGAACTTCACCTCCTCCTCTGAGTAATCAAAACCAAAAACCAAAAACAAACAAAACCCAAAACTTTTTACTGTTTTATCCTGATTTTTATTTAGCTTTTTACTTAATTGGACCTGTAACTTATCACTTGACTTAAGTACTATAAAATCTCTAATAACCATTGTGACAAATGGTTATTAGACCAGATCTTAAGACAAACAGTTATGAATCGGCTATTTACGCAGTGATTATTAAAGCCCCAGCTTATATAACTACTGATGCAATGGCTGTTTTGTGCCAATCTTCTTATTCTCTCTTTGTTGCTTAAACCAGAAGATCTGTCCTATGTTAGATAATCGATTTTGCCTCAAGCTGGACGATGTCACTGTAGTTTTTGGAAGATTCTCCTTTGCTCTCTTTTTGGTATTTTCTAACTTAAGAGATTTGTTGGTCTTTTTTTTCCCATAAGAGCTTTTGCAACACGAATATTGAACCGATTATTTCGAGCTTTCTTACTAAGACAAGTATCCCCATTTTTAAGGACTCTGCTTTTTTTATGTATCGTACCCTCCATGTCTCGTATATTATGCTTATTTTTTTCTACTTTCTCTGCTTCTGTTGGCTTCTCGCTTTTCTTGTCCTCATCATTGTTTATCAGAAGTAATGTCTCCTGTGGTGTTCCCCCTTGGTGAAGATGGAATTCCTTGAGAATATCTACTCTCTGCTGTAAGATCTGGCATTCGTTCTCCAGCAGAGCCGCAATCAAATGCAGTGAATAGGTGTCATGGTTCAGTTTCCGCACCTGTTCCTCCAGCTCATGTTTAAAGGATGTTTCATTATTTGGTTGGCTTTGGAAATCATCTTGATCATGTTGAAGGGTTTCACTTTTGGTTTTGTGAGACTTCTGGTACAATTTGATCAATTCATTGAGCTCCATTTGCTGTTTACTCCAGTGATCTGCTTCCTCAAGTAACTGTTCCATGTTGTTCCTAAGTTTCCTATTTGCTTCGTGAATGTAAAGGGACCTGTATTTTCCTTCATCCATACTCAGTTGAGTTTTATTACGGGCTCTTCTTTCTTCTAAGCGATTTAACAAATCCCTTGCAGACATGTCCATGTCCTCCGACTGCTGCCTTTTGAATATCATCTCCTGTTTCTTTGTATTCTTTTCTTTCTCTGGGTCTAACCTAAATAGCAGGTCTTTCAAGAGTTTCTTGTTTGTTTTGTCAAGTCCTCTGAATTTTTTTATGAGTTCTGATACATCCTTAGAAATATTGGTGTCCTCAAAAAGGTCATTTGTTTCTGTGGTCTTCTCTTCAACTTCGGCCATACTTTTAAGGACATCTTTAATGTCTCTTAAGAGAGCATCTACTTTCTGTGCTGTCTGTGATCCTTTTACTGATTGGCTACGATTATTTGGGGAAGGGCGGGAGCCCCAGCGGTAGGGGGAACGTGATCCAATTTCCAACAGGGCAATGGTGATCCCAGGGTCCAATGCCTCTCGATGAAGACTAGAAGCAGAGTTCAAGTTTGGGGAGGTGGCAGTCATCTCAGTTGAGCTAGGTATGCTGGCCATCAGGACCCAAGGAAAGCAGAAAACCGTAGAGATTCCGCGGAGGTCAGGTGACAGTCCTCTGTGCAAAGGGGTGGAGAATGTAGAACCAAGCAGAAGGCAGAGTCTAGAATTAAGGACTGAAACTGAGGAGATGATGTTAGATGGAAGGTGACATCTCACATAGTCTATGGGGGCAGGGGGTGGGAAAGAGGGCCAGGAGCTGGGGCTCCATTTCCTCTTTTCCAGGCTCCTGGTATTTATTCCCTGATCCTAACAACCAGGCCTTTATTCTGTCACTACCTCCATTGTGGCCTCACCCCAGTCTCCTTGATGTCACAATGGAAGCCTCTTTAACTCCTCCCCAGGGACTGGTGTATCCAAACCAGCCTTGACCTATCCCTACTCCCAGGATCTCTGTCACAGTCGTTCACTTCCTTTTTCAGCTTCAATTCACCTCATTCTAAGGACATTTCCCTGACTTCCTTACCTCAGCTCCACCTCTGCAGCCCTAAGCTCATTCCAGAGTATCCATGTCCCACCTGAGGACATGGCTGAACCCTGGTGAGGCTCCCATTCTTCCATAGAAACTGGAGGCCTTGTGGTTCCTGTTCTAGGAGGGATACTGCTGTAAAAGAAAGGTAGGAATAGAAAACAGAACCCCCAAAGGGGATGAAAGAAATGATGTTAGGAATCTCTCCATTAAAAATACTGTGTGAGAACTGGGTGCTGGTGGTTCACACCTGTAATCCTAGCTACTCAGGAGGCGGACATCTAAGAATCATGGTTCAAAGCTAGCCCAGAGTCTGTTTCCTCCAATTAACCACAAAAAGCCTGAAGTGAAGCTATGGCTCAAGTGGGAGAGCGGAAGCCTGTAGCCAGAAGAGCTCAGTGACAGTGCCCAGGCCCCAAGTTCAAGCCTACTACCAGCACATACAAAAGAACAAAAAAAAAAGTGAGAAAAGAGTATCTGAACATCTCTAAGAACATAATTTCAAATGGGAACTGTTTTGTTTTGTTTTTAGAGCTACTGGGGATGGAATTCAGGGCCTTGTATATGCCAAGTCTTCTACCTCTGAGTTCTATCTCCAGCCCTTGGACTGGGATTGTCTGTAGCTTTAAGGACAGCAATCCTTAAAAACTTTGTGAACTTACTCATGAATCATTTGTATCCAGTGATACAAAACCTCACACATTACTTTTTCACAGCAATTAATGACAATTTAAAGTAGCTAAAGCCAATTGTAGGTTATATAAAAGTAGAAGAATAATTCAAAACCACGTGTTTTCTTGTCTTTTTGCCCCCAGGATTCAGGACCATGAGAAGATACAGTTCTAAGTAAGAGTATTTTGGATGAGATTTTTATTTTTTTAAGTTAATTTAAATTTTATTGGAAAGATGATATACAAAGGGGTTACAAGTTACATAGGTAAGATAATGAGTACATTTCTTGTCAAACCTTGTTACCCCCACTCTCATTTTCTCCCATTTTCCTCCCCCGCCCCCGACTCCCCCCTCATTTCCAATATAGTGTCTTGTGAGTATTGCTGTTGTATTGGTTCACCATTTATCCTCTGTCTCACCATTTTGTGATTCCCCTTCCCTTCCCCAAATCAGATAAGTATATATATAAGACACAGGGTGCCAAAATAAAAAACAGTGACAGCAGGGGATAAACCAAAGGGGGGAAACAAAGGAAAAAAGAAATAACTTTACACAGTATATTAAAAAACAAAAGCTGGGTGCCAGTGGCTCAAGCCTGTAATCCTAGCTACTCAGGAGGCTGAGATCTCAGGATTGCGGTTCAAAGCAATTCCAGACAGGACAGTCCATGAGACTCTTATCTCCAATTCACAACCAGAAAACAGGAAATGGCACTGTGTCTCAAGTGGTAGAGCTCTAGCCTTGAGCTGAAGAGCTCAGGGATAGTGCCCCGGCCCAGAGTTCAAGATCCATGACAGACCAAAAAGAAAGAAACAAACAAAAAACCAAAGAAACAAAAAGATTGTATGTTTTGTCACTAACTAGATATTTGCCTTCAATCTTAAGGAGAAATTGGAGCTTCGTGTTCCCTCCTTAGAGAAGAGAAATACAATGTTGTTTTTCTTCCACATATACCAATTAACATTGGCTTTAGTTTCCCTGACTATATACTCATCTTTCAGCCAGTAGGACTCAGAGTCAAGAGCACTGCTAACCCAAAGACTTGAAAAAGCCAGGTTTTCTTTTTGCTTGAAGGAGCATCATTTCTGACACACACAATGATGACACAGAGGCTAGCTGTCACCCTGACACTGTCATTTTAAAAGGTTCAGCTTGGGGGACCGGTAAGTGGCTTAGTGGTAGAATTCTGCCTAGCATGCATGATGCCCTAGGTTGAATTCCTGAGTACCACATAAACAGAAAAAACCAGAGGTGCGCTATGGCTCAAGTGATAGAGTTCTAGGCTTGGGCAAAAGAAGCTCAGAGACAGTGCCCAGGCCCCAGGATTAGGAAGAAAAAAAAAAGGTTCAGTTTGGGTACTTGCTTCCCTTTTGCCACAGGCATCATTTGAGACAATTTTAAGTGTCTGAGACAAAGAGAAATTTTTCTGGTTTGGTCATTCTAGTTAATTTCACTGAAAGCACGAAAATGTCTCATCTAGCAAATATGAGGCTCCACTTTGAACCCCTAAGCACAATAAATAAAGCAAAAGAAAATACTTGCCTTTTGCAATCAATTATTTTCCTTTTGGACTAATATATTATCAGTATTCATACTTAAAAAAATAAATATTTTCTATTTTCTTTTTGTTTGTAGGTGTTTTTTTTTCATACTGTTGGACACAATCTGATTGCTTTGGTTTCTATAGGAACTAGTTTAAAGGCGTTTTCAAGATTGAAGGAAAGTTATTTTTTTCTCTCATCAAAAAGAGAGGATGAAGGAAATGCAAATAAAGACAACCCTGAGATACCACCTTACCCCAGTCAGAATGTCCCACATCCACAAATCAGCCAACGACAAATGCTGGAGGGGATGTGGAGAAAGAGGAACCCTATTACACTGCTGGTGGGAATGTACACTTATACAACCACTTTGGAAAGCAGTCTGGAGGGTCCTTAGAAAGCTAAAGATTGACCTCCCTTACGACCCAGTCATACCACTTCTAGGCATCTACCCTGAACAACAGGAACCAATATACAAGGACACGTGCACCTCCATGTTTATTGCAGCACTGTTCGCAATAGCTAGGATATGGAAACAACCTAGATGCCCCACCACAGATGAATGGATCCAAAAATTGTGGTATCTATACACAATGGAATATTATGCAGCCATTAGAAATGACAAAATAATGGCATTTGCAGGGAAATGGATGGAGCTAGAAGGAATCATGTTGAGCGAGGTAAGCCAAGAACGAAGAGACAAACGGTACATGGTCTCCCTGATAAGTGGATGCTAAATCCAAAATGTTAGGTGATACGACAAAACTAACAGGACTTAAGACTCATCTGGTTGAACCACTACTAAATATCCCCATGCTGCTGATCACATATATGGTATATAACATGTGAGCATCGTTATATATTACAGACTGTGATAGACAGTTTGCTCCAGGAAAGTTAGAATGAACTTGTGACTTTAAATGAGCATCATTATTCCACAATACTGTGAATTTCCGGAAATTATGTAATCAGTTAATCACAATCAAAAAAAAAAAAAGAACCTGGGGAAGGGAGGGAGGGAGGGGATGATAGGGGGAAAACAATGGAGGGGGTAACAATGTTCAAGAGGAAGTGTACTCATTACCTCACTCAAGTAACTGTAACCCTCTGTATAGTATCTTTACAATAAAAAAAAGGATGTAAATATTTCCCTTCTTACAATTACAGTAAATTCCAATGCATTTTTCTGAGTTTACTGTGCCCCCAGTTATACATTCTGAATTGATCTCTTCGTCCTTCATTTTTCTTTTTAGTCTCTTTATTTTATTTTTGCAGTACTTAGAATCAACCCCAGCGTCTTATGTGAGCTAAGCAAGCACCGTACCACTCAGCTTACACCTCCCCTTCCCTCCCCTCCCTTTTTTTTTAACTCACATATTCCTATTGGAATATTAAATACATTTTGATTATATTACCATTTTTATCTAAGTTCCCATAGCTTATTGACTCTAAAAATTTTAGAGCTATTTCTAAAATAGAAAATCTGTACTATTTTCTTCTTTTTTATAAACAATTTACCTTAACAAAAATATTAAATCTCACATCCTTCCTTAATGCCTTTGCATTTCAAAATAAACATCAAAATGGAGACTAGTGATTTTAATGCTGCTTAGGAACAGAAGCCAAAGTCAAACTGGCTTAAGTGAAATAAACGGGTGGGAGAGGGAGATGAGAATGTTATTAGCTGATATAACTTAAACGCATCAGAAGATCTGGCTTCTGCAGGCCTGAATTTGGGGGCTCAAGTTATATAATTTGGACTTGACTTCCCCATTTCTGAGTTCTCTTTCTATCTCTCTGTTTCTCTATCTCTTCTCTCTTTTCTGTCTTTCTCTTTATTCTTAGGAGTCTTTCTCTAGCTGGTAGCTCCAGGCTATATCCTACATGCTTGACAATTCCAGAGGAACATATTTTTTCCCCATATCATTCTAGTAAAAGTGCCAAGGAAACTGTCAGGCATGGTAATATACACCTATAAAAATCTCAGCACTTTGGAAGCTGAGTCAGGAGGATTGAGTTTGAGGCCAGGGCTGGGAATGTGGCTTAGTGGTAGCATGCTTGCCTAGCATGAATGAAGGGTTCCATTCCTCAGTACCACATACACAGAAAAAGTCAGAACTGGCACTGGGCTCAAGTGCTAGAGTGATAGCCTAGAGCAAAAGAAGTTGAGGGACAGGCCCTGAGTTCAAGCCTTAAGATTGGCCAAAAACAAAAACAGAAAACCTTGACACAGCGCTGTTAACTAACCTACAGACTTAACTAAGTTGTCCAGTTCTTCTGCTAATACTCTT